ATGATTTTGAGGGAAAAAATCAACAGTGGGAGAAATGAATGAAAAACAAAGGTAACATGTAGAAGCATTACAATATCTGAATCAGAGTCATGTAGGCATTGGTAGAGATGCCTATACTTCCATGTAGCTGTTTGCTTTCTCTTAAGTATTCATTTCAGACTTGTGATGAAGATTAAAGGATATTATGCAGTGAAGAGTTTAGCATAGAACCTGGCACATAGAAAGTGTGGACTGGCACATCTGTTTCCACCAAGTTCCAAATGCAAAAGGACACACAAACAAAATAACTTAAAGTGCCCTTTTTATCCAGTACCTTCTCTCACTCTTTACAGGAGTCTCTTCCCTCATTTTTCTGGCCCTAAAATAATGTCTTCTCTCTCACAGTGTTACCATGTATGCTTTGAGGTTTGCTCTCCTGGAAGCCATCGTGTACGGTATACATCTTTCTTTCTGTAGTCCTTTCATGGACCACAGACTCTGTTCGTAGGTGAGAAGAACATCCTATTTAGACAGGCATGCCTATATTGGCTTCCTCTCCTTTCTGGGATGAATTTATACTCAGGGCAGTCTTCCCTGTATGCTGGTCACTGTGTAGATGGAATAGACATGTTAGTACTCATTTGATTCTTTTAATTCACAGGATATAATCATTTCACTATCTTACATAATTGGGATGAATGTCCAGAATTCCAGGCAGGCTTGACAAGGGGATTCTTATTTTCCTCACCACTTTGACAGAGGTTTATGGTCCTATGCAATAGGTGGTTGGAGGACTAGTCTTGAAGGTGACAGGTTATTTCATTAGTGTGTTCTCAACAGAATTGCCCTAGTGGGTACCATGGACCCAAGAGCTAACATGCAATCTCCCTATCATAGAGTAGAAGGAAGCTTTGCAGCCTGTGACTGCTTTCATTTTTTAAAAGGATTTATTTATTTTTATTATGTGTGTAAGAAAGCTTTGCCTGAATATATTTACATGTGTGTCTGGTGCCTGCAGAGGCCGGAAGAGAGTGTCAGATCCCCTGGAACTGTAGTTATGGATGGTTAAGAGCTGCTTTGTGGGTGCTGAAAGATGAGCCCTGGTTCTCTATGAGATGAGAAAGCCCTTTTAGGCATGAAGCCATCATCATTCCAGCTCCAAGTCTTGGATTTCTTAGGTGACTACTGACTGCTCCAAGAGCAAGAGTTCTAGAGGAGGCCGAAGTCCCAAAGCCTTTTATGCTCTCATGTAGAAGTTACAACCTGTCACTTCTATTATAACCTATTGACCAAAACAGTCATAAACCTACCCAAACTCGAAGGCAGAGGCAGAAGAACATTTAGATGGAAGGGGTGTGGAAGAATGTAATACGCTACAGTCTGTCTTCTTTTAATTGTCCCTGCCAGGCAGGGCCGAGGACTCTGATCATTGCCTTTCAGAGGATATATTAAGCCCAGACTCTTAACCTCTGATTACTGATGAATTTAAAGTGTTTTGGTGGCAGACAAGAAACACCAAAATTCACACTGCAGAGTGGCAAAAACAGATTAAACATTTGAGGCTACTCACCAAGAGGTGTTTCATAACATCCAGCAAATCCCAAATGACTTGCTAAACACAAGAATGGATTTGGGATGGCCTTTTGCAGCATTTTTCTTAGATGTACAGACTTTAGACTCCAGAACCTCTCCTCTCCATCTTATGCTTTGTGTCAGTCTGTCTCCCCCTTGTAGGGATAGGGCCAATGTGGAAGGCCATGCTTTGATAGAGAGAAAGCTTGTGACTCTCATGTCTGAAATACAGCAAATAGGTTGCAAAGGCATCCCACTCACTGCTTACCTGGAGGAGGGAATAGAGGATGAACATCACTACCACCTAAAAGTAAGTTTATAATTGCCTGTGGAAACCATTTTATTTTCTAGTTAAGACGATGGCTTCAAAGCCTAGGTATTTGGAATATACAATGTAACATTTAAAACTTTAATTCAGCAGTAGGTCACTGTGATCTCTCAGTTTATGGGACGACACGCGGCAATATCCACACACTGAGCACTTACTGACAGATTTGTTTATTATTTACTCGATTACTTCATTTCTCATAATTGTACAATAATTCTCTTAAACAACACTGTTATGGTTGAAGTTGGTCACATTATACTGTCTCTTCCATCTATAGTAGTGGAGTGCTTGTCACACTTAATTTTTTTAATAGAACATTTGAATATCAAGGAGTGCAGTTCATTAAAAATAACGAATGGACCAAACTTCAAGAGAAACAATTGCACACTCAGTTAAGGGTCTGATGCTATACAGTGGTTTGTGTACATTCAAGAGGAAACAATAGAGGTCTCAGTTTGACACAGAACTGGAGGTGTTTAGGTGGACAGAAGTGGCTCCCTTAAGACCCATTTGGCAGCTTGGAAATGAGGTTGAATACTGGCTGGACCGCATTAGCTTTTCTAGACAGTTCCTCCAGGCAAGAACTGAGAACCATTGGCAGGGTGTGATCCTTATCTCTCTGAGGGTAAAAGTCCTCCAGCCACGTGTATAAACCATCTCAAGACTGACCCTAACCCATTAATGTTGAAATTTTAAACTCAAAATTACATTGCACCAGTCATGGTAATTGTGTATGTAATGTGTGTGAACGAGGGTGTGCATATATAGACACACACCTCGAGAGAGGAGAACATGAGAGCACACTGAAGAATAAGGCAGTCAAGGATGAGTGAGAGGGGAGAAAAAGATGGATGATAAAGGAGATGTGTAGGAGGTGAAGGACTTTGGAGAGCAGGGCATAAGGACAGAAGAGAGGAGGTGCGGTGTGCCTGGAATGAAACAGAAGGGGCAATAGAGTAGTGATTTTAACACCACTCCTTGTCTCCCCCCACCCAAGTCTGTAAGCTCCTATCTCCAACAGGGCTGGAAGGCATCGGCAGCCTCACTATCCTTCTGCTCAAACTCAAGACATCATTTTCTTCAGAGAGTTAGATAGAAGAACGGAAGGAAAAAAAAAACAGCAGTTAGGAGATGTATGCACCCTGCCATACTGGCCCATAGTGTGCTCTTATCTGGTGATGGTGAGCAACTTGCCCTTAGATGCCTTTTTACTGAAGCCTCTGTACTGGCCGTAGGTGAGCGGCCAAGTTTTCAGCTGTGGTTTGTTCTAAAAGTTAGGGAATCTGTGAGGCAAAATGTACAAGGTAAGTCTTGTAATATTTCTCTAGAAAGAAGCAATGGAGGAGTAAGACCAGCCTGCAATTTAATGTCCTCCCCACTCATTCATGGGGAGGCCAGTGTGCTTGCAGTGCTGAGGGCACCAAATGCGCCCTGACTCCAAAGGCTGTTGGTGTACTTTGGATCTTTCCCTTTCCATTACATAGTGGGCACTCTGTACATGGTTCCTTAGGAAGGTGAGCTCTGGGCATGTTCCCTGTGGAGCTCAGTACTTGGACAGCTGTATGCTTCAGGCAGCACAGAGTGGTAAAAGTTCTGTGCTCTAGAGACACTGAGCTCATCCTGTAGCTCAGGACATATGGTGTATGATGGACCTGGGGGATAATGAGTCACCTCTCTGTCTTTGTTTGCTCATCACTAAAAGGTAGATAAAAATAGAACTTTCTTTAGGCGGTTTCCATGAGAATTCCGTAAAGTATTCACAGTAGTGCCCATCACACAACAAATAATCAATGTTGTCTGTCATTATTCCTAACTGGAAAGCATGATTAAGGCTCAGTGACTGTGCTATAGAGCCTTCCATACCTCTGTCCTATGTTTCCATATGAAGAGTTCCAGTCAAGGCAAGCTGGCTGAATGGACATTGGGTCATCACTAGTCAACCTGGCCCCATGAGGTTGTTTGTGAAAGGCTAGCCTCCCTGTTAGCTGGGTCATCATACCATTTTTGGGCAGTGAGTGCAAATGGAGCCTCAGACTTTATGGGTGACCAACAGATGTTCTGGTCCATCCAGAGGCTCTGCTATTCTCAGTAACTGGCAGAGTTGGGTGGACAGGCAGTGACAATGATAGACTCCTGCTGATTGACATCAGAGAAAGGACTGTCATCAGAGAAAATTTAGTAAGGGGAGTGTGGAGAGTCGTGCTTTTCAGATTTATGGTAGCTTTAGTTCACTGAAACACTGACAAGAAAGAATCGCATTCCTGGATTACACCAAACATCCATCAACTCCTTTCTGTCCAGAGGAAGAAGCACAAGAGCAGACAGAATCAAGGCTCTTAGATCTCTGCAATGGGGTCTGCTAAGTAGTTATGCAGGTAGCCCTCTCTGGAGCTATATTTGACTGGTGATATCTCACTACCTCTCAAAGATCATGTTGCTTAGAAGAAAGGACAAAAATTTACCAGAAATCCTAGACCTGGCTTAACATGGAGGATGGGAAGACCTAAAACTCTCTAAAACCCATTGGACCCGTAACAGAACCTTGTTTCACCCATAAGGTGTGGAGATAGAACCAAGAGAGTTCGGGTGAAAACCTGTGAGAAACAGACATGGACCACCTCATTATCTTCTTGGGCACATGCCTTGGCTCCCAGCATTTTGATGCTTCCTAAGAAATGCTGGAGCTGCAACATGAGGCAGGTAAAAATTTATACTTCCATTTCTGTTCCCAGGTGCCATTGAGAGCCCATTAACAGAAGTACCTCCACCTTCGACCTTCGTAGGAAGCAGGATGGAGCTCTTAAGCATTCTGGTGAATTTCTTGAAGGAAAAAACGTGAATGAAACAAATGAATACCAAAGTGAGTTTCAAGGTAATCTTCTAAGGAAACAAAATGGTGCTGCATGAAGCTACTGGCTGTCAGGTTGACTGACCATGCAGATGGAGATTATCACACTGGACAAGTCCTGCAGGGAGCAAGGGTCACTCTCGTCCTGGTTTAGAAGGTACCTGTGGAGCTTTGGATGTCCCATTAAAAAATATCTAAAAATCCATAAACCAACCCAGATGCCCCCCTCTTCTCTCTGCGTTATTTTGGCAGCTACTCCCTGACCCCATGGTGCTAGATATCTTTACTGTCCCCATAGTCATTGTAGGGGACACTCAAGGTCTGTTCCTCACAAGTCTTCCTGAGGTCCCGGCTGAGCTCTGACCAGTCCAGTCCATAGGGCTTGATCTCACTGTAGCGGCAGCCCAGGTACTTGAGTGAACCACGCCTCAAGCTTATCTTGGGCTCCTGAAGTAGTCCATTGCACCAGCTGCTCAGATCTCCAAGCTGGGAAAGGATGAGGCCTGCCTTCCTACATATAAAAAGACAAGGATGCTTTTGTCAGAAAACAAACAAACAAACAAACAAACAAACCAAAAGGAGAAGGCCAGAAAAAAATTACTACCAGATTGAGACTCCTGATTTTTAGAGGGTAGAGCTGACCATTCTGTCTTTTCCACTTAGCACAGCAAATCCTTCATGCTTGTCTGTCCAGTGAATGAATGACTGACTGACTGAATGAATGAATGAATACATGGCATGGGCATGCAAAGTGATGTAGGCACACAGAAGAAATAGAAGTAACAAATGCATCCAGAAAAAAAATAATAAAACTGAGAAAATGAATAATATTTTAGTGGGAATATATAACTTTTTGAATCATGGGGTCTGTAGTCTTGAAAGAAATCAAATCAGTGTTCTATGAAGCCAGTAATTTATCATCACTAAATGACAAGTAATGTGCTTGCTTGAGTATTTCTCCTTTCAAGGCTATACTTGAATTGATTAGAAAAAAAACAGTCTATATAGTGGAATGAAAGGGGGTACCTGATGTAACCAATTATGCCTGTGCTGAGGTAATTATAGTACAATAAGGCTGGGGCCAATAGGGCTCTGACTCACATTGACATGGGAGCATATTTTGGATAGAGCAGACTCCCAGGTACACACAACACCTAATTATGCTCATGCTACACTTCTTCATCTCCTCCATAAAGCCACAAGGGATTCCCTCCCTTGGTTGTTTCTTTTCTATTCTTCAAAGATGTAAGTGGCCAGAGAGGCAGGAAAACGATTCTCTATTGGAGAAACTTAGGTAAGGCTAAGGATGCTGGCTAGAAAGCTTGCAGAACAGACCCCCTTGCAGTATTAGCTCACTGCTAAGCTGGGTATCTTTTCCTGTGAAGAATCATCTCTTTTCTGCATTAATCAACAACTCCTTACACAAATGGGAATGTTTCTGCATCTCGTTTATAGTAAACATTTCAAAGAAGAATAACTGCATTCATTTAATTCCTCTTCATCTGGGCAGCGAGTGTTGTTGTGGGGGGCAGTGATATCACTGGATTCCTAATGACAGGACAAAAGGAGGGTGAAGCTGACATTGGAGTAAAGATGTTGGCTTCAAGCAGCAACATCTATGGGCTGAGAGCAGTGTGACCTCACTGCAACGAAGTTGTATTTTCTCCATTGGTGTCTGGTCAGAGGAACTGAAAGGAACACTCTACCAGCTGACTAAATAGTCTCTCAGAAGGATGATCTATCATCTGTATATTCCCTATCAGTTTCTGTGGTTTAGCCAGTCAGGTTTTCCGAAAGCCATCACCACTGAGGGCTTTGCTGGCCCTTTCCTCCTAATCCTTCCATTGTGTACTATGGTTAGTTAGCCTTCTGATGAGTTGAAAGAAACAGGGGAGGGGGGTGAGGAAGGAATGAGGACAACATCTCATCATCTTCCAGAAACAGATGGAGCACAACCCAGTAGCCTTTCAAAAGAGCGAATTGAATTAGTCCATGAAGTCTTTGTTGCTGTTTTCATTGCTCACTGATTGTTCTTTAAATAATTATTACTTTGGGTCTGCCCTTGACCATCTCAGAGTCAACAGCCTTCTTTGTTAGCAGTGGTGCAACACTGCTGTCCTTGGAGTGTTTGCAACCTCAGCTCATTCTGGAAGCCTCAGGTTTTAATAGAATTGGATCTTACAGAACTGTGGGAACCCTTTCTGTTTGCTAACAGGAAGTGTTTACCCGCAGACCCATTTTTATTGATTCTCATAGTTAACCCCGGAGTGAGTTGATGTCCCTCAAGGCGGTGGACTTTTCCTTTCCTGTGGCTCTCCCTGAGACTCACAACATTAAAGACTTTGTTTCCATGGACTAATGGACTAGCACAATGTTTTCTGCCACGCATTTGTGAAAGACCAGTATTATCCACGAGGACCCTTGGGAGGAGAGTGTGGAGAGGAGGGTGCACAGTCAACAGTGGGCTTTGCTTCACAGTGGCATCCCCATTTCCTCCCCTGTTCACTTTCTGCATTAACCAATTTTCCTTCTGAGTCTTGAGTCACAAAAGAGAAATTTTGAAGATTCAAATGCCCTTGGAAATAACAATGAAATATGCAATGTTAGTGCTATTCAAATGACGGCATTTATACTTCCTAACAAGAAACTGTGTGTGTATACCAAACAAATCTCAGATAAAAGAAGGGAAGAGAGGAAAAGTGGGGCGCTAGGAACAGAAGGGAAAGGAAAGGGTGGAAGGAGAGGAGATGGTTAAAGAAGAGAATGTCAGGGGTGAGCAATAATTTGGCAAGAGGTAGAGATAGAGTATGGAGTAGAAAGGACATATCTTAATATTTATCTACATTCTAAGACACAATTTATTTCTAAAAATACTACGACAGATTTACTGCCCCCTATGTATTTCCCTTAGATCACAACAGTGGCTTTGTTTGTTCAAAGTCTATCATTCCTTGTAAGGTTACAGGTAAAACTTACAGAGTGTAGCACGATCCTACTTGACTTTATACAAATAATTGTTTTATTCTAGGAAGAATACCCTGAATTTTCTACTTCCTCCAAAAACAATAAAGTAGATCTTGGAATGCTGGCTCAGTCAGCAAAGTATATACCTTTCAAGTGCAAGTGCAATCCCCAGAAATCAGTGCACAGGGGCAGGATGTGCTTGCAATCCCAGATTCAGAGAAGTAGAGACAGGCAGAGCAATAGAGCAATGCCGAGTATTCCAGTGTTGACCTCTGGCCTCCAACCACACCCACACACCAGTGTACCTGCACACATGCCTGTAGGCCTATCACAAAGAGACAGCGATCCAAATAAGGCACCACCTCCAAGAAGCTGGTGTAGATGGCATGTTTATGGAGAGGAGAGAGAGAGAGAGAGAGAGAGAGAGAGAGAGAGAGAGGGTGGAAGGGTGGGAGGGAGAGAAGGAGAAGGAAATACAGGGGAAAATGTCCTGAACAAGGGTCTTCTGAGAAGATTTATAACTACTGAGGTGAGTGTCCTAAGATGTCAGATGAATGGGATGGAATGACTTCTGAGGAACACTGTGCTTCACCTGGTGCTAAAGTGTAAGAACTGTTTGGAGCTGGGGGTAGTGGGTGGGCAGGGATACTACAGTACCAATTTCCCTCGTTTTGCCTCCTCCTCCTGACTTCCTTTACCGCCCCTTTCCTTGCTCCCCCACCTCTCTAATGCTTTCTAGCCTCCATCGCCCACCACACGGCCCTCCTTTTCATTGACTTCCGCTTCCTTTCTTCATCCTCACAGTCCTTGCCCTATTTTCATTTTCACAAGTTCTTGAATAATTTATAGTAGTAAATTGTATGCAACCCACTTCGTCATTATGTCTTAAGAATTTCAGAATCTCCTGGAAAGCCTACTGTCTCAATATATGGTCATAATAAATGGTCTAAAACAGGAAGTGCTATCTCTCAGCACTCCTCATTTCCTACTTCCCTACAACCTAAAGACAGTGTATATAGTGTATTAGGAAGTGACAGGATTGGGTTGGTAGTAAGTAGGAAAATACCATGTCACCTTAGTGGAGGCCTCATTATCTCTGATATCTCCTTGAACAAACAAGCAAAAAAAATCTACATAGTATAGGTAACATTCACATGCACTAGATGTTTCATGATGACCTCCTTAGCATCTGAGATCACTCTGAGAGTATTTGCCACATCCATGATACAATATTACAGCACAAGAGACACAAGACTCCATACGAGTGTTTAAAAGAGACAGTTCACCAGTACCTGGGTCCTAATTCATCCTCACACCGCCAGGTGAATTCCCCAAAACTCTCATAGTGCTGGTTGTAATGGTAGAGGACACGATGCAAAGTAGGGGAACCCAGATCCAGAAGGGTGTTGTAGGCAGTCTGTTGCTCCTTTCCACTGGTGTAGCCGTTGAAGAGATTGTAGATCTTGTCTGCTATTTCTGAGGAGGGAAGAAAAGTGAAGTCCGGTTGTATTTCAAGAAATGCTTCATTCGGTGATTTCAACTCTGTGCAGAGATTACACAGAGTGCTTGCTCCAACACAAATCTAGACGGTGTGGTCTACTAATGTGTACAACATGTGATAGACTCAAGGCATACCCTGTTGCTCCTACAATCAGGATGAACACCACAAGATTAAAACAGGAACAAGAGAAAGGACTCAATCAAGAGATATGGTAGACACAGATCTATGAGGGTACTGTTGCTGTGCCATAGTGTACTATTTTCAATAAGGTGTTTTATAAGTAGAGTACAATCTGAAATGATTATATATGTAGAATAGTAAATACACAAACCAATGATAGTTGTTTGTTATCATAATCAATATTACCCAGTGCACACAGTCACATGTGTTATGTGATTGGCAACACAGCAGATTTATTTCATCAGCACCACAAGCCTATGAGAGTACACTCGGCTTTTACATCATGACTGCTATAGCATTACTGCTCATAGGAAATATGTCTCATGGGACCATTATGGCATATATGGTCCATTACTGATCAAAATATCATTGCATAACTCTCAGCCTATATATATATGCAGTTTTTGTACACATATTTATAATGTGCTGGTAAATTCATACATGCATATTTATTTATGTGTGAATGATATTATTTTAAAACACTGACCCTGAAGTGTGAGATTGATTTGTGTAATTCACTTTACCTTTGTGCCACTGGGTTTCAGTTTTCTCTTTAATGAATTAAATGTCTTTGACTAATACACCTCTAAGTTCAATTTCACCTGCAATACTCTTTGTCTTATCTAGGTTTACTGAAAAACACATAACCTGAGGCAAAAGCGCATACATTCACGATTGATTGGAAAGTGTAATCCCAGAGAAGTAAGGCTGGGGATAAAGGCCAATGAGGCAAGAAATGAGAGAAAATATAAAGGATTATATTAGGAACTTGGTAACACCATCTTGGGAACCTGCTATATTTTGCAGGAGAGGGTGTATGAAGTTCCTGAATTACTAGTGAGCCATACAATAGGAGAAATAAAGACTTTATGTTCAGCTCCCATTAAACATTGCTCCAAATTTGCTTCCATATAAGACTGGTTCAAGTTTGCTTCCATGAGACACCAACATGACAACCTTATACCTGTAGGTAGCATTTCCCTGGGCACCAAGTGGTTCTCCAGAAAAGCATTAGGGAAGTCCTGGACATAGAAGGTAGACTTTTGCTCAGAGATAAAGTGAGGCATCACCAGATAATACTTTTGAGACATAAGAAAAAATGGAGAAGCAATGACTTTGGAACAAAGAACATTTGCTGGAATCACATAGGCCTGGCGTAAAGGTAACATGGAGATCTGTATACATCCAAAAATTCAAGCTAGAGCATCATGCCATCTAAAATGAGTAATCATTCAGTTTAATTTATATCTGTGATGTTTCTGCCTCAAAGGTTTCTGTGGCTATAACTGAGATCTTGGTGACATGGTAAAGCAGTAAACTTTTGCATAGCCTTGGCATTTTTGTTCTGTTTTATTTTTGTTTTGTAACACAAGGAATTTTATCATTGCATGTAGTCTCATTACAACTATCAGAAAAGAGATGTTTTGCATATTCTGCCTAAACATCTCAGAGCTGACATCCATCCAGTGAGCAGGTGAGAAATGCTTTCCCTTGGGTGTGCTGTGCTAATTCTGGAGTTGAAGAAACTCACCCATAATCCTGGGTGAGAAATCAGGATTATGCCTACTTGACCCATTAGCCAATCGCAGTATAAGACTCTTTGAGTTAATTCCAAGTGAATTAGGAATATTGGTAAATGACAGATCCACCTGAGGGTTTTATGGGTAGAATGAATAAAACCTCTACCCAGTGATGGCCTCCATGTCACACTGATTATTTTGGGGATAGGCACTAGACCTTACTTTCCTGATATCCTGAGAAACTGTACAGTGCCAGATAAAAGAGCTGACCAGAAATTGTTAGCTAAACGAATGGAGCTCATAACTTTGAGTATAGCTTGAATTCACTTTGTAGCAGGATTTCTAAGTGTTCCCTCTCCAATCTGGTTTACACTAACCCTAGAAACAAAACTTACAGGCAACACATTCAGTCGCATTACACATGACTCTTCTTCAGAAATCCATTTTGCTTTTTAGGTTGTTAAAATCCTCAGGTAGCTATAATGGGATTTTTTTAAAAATTTTTTTAGATAAAGAAGACAGCAATTTAGAAACTAAAGGTCCATGATATCTCACTATTATGCAAGGTTTATTCATTTAATAGGCTAAGAACTTTACATCTCCTTACTGCAGATTTATGCATAACTCATTATCTCATATGAATATGAGATTAAGAAACAGAAGAGGTTAGAAGTTACCAAGTCTAGGTCACATTGCTATTGTGGCCTTCTGGGAAGCTTCTGAACTCTCTGTTTGCACTTGCTATTTTGCATCCATGCTTAGTCATCAGTGGCATACAAACAGTTTAAGGTGTAAGAGGCAGAATCTTGGGATAATACCTCCAATAGAGCATGTGTGGTCAGGGAGTCATTGTAAGTGTGCTGGGGAGTGGGGACTGTCTTTTCTGGAGTTACGAGAGAAGGAAACAGAGGGCCAAGTCTGATGATTGATTTGTCTTGTTTGAAAGGCAGGGAGTGTCTTGCTGAAACAAGAATGTCTAGAGAAGGAAAACCATTGGTACTCAGACTGCAGCTCAGACAGGGTGATTTGGAATTCCTCTCCTAATGTTTCTTGCAATGGGAGATAATGTGTCAAGTTCCAGGTTCTACTTGTTTATTTTTGAGAAATGACTGTGGCAGAGGTGATGATTCCTGGTGCATGCAGTCACTCTCATAACATAATAGTTATTTTTAGTTGAACAAGCCAACATCTGCATCCTGTGGGCAAAACCAAATTCCACCACAAATCTGCTAAAACCAAGATAATCTAACTGAAGGGGCAGATTGCAAACCTATCAGTAAACAGGATCTTATATTCAGAAAAACCTAGGCTTCAGCTCCCAGAGCATGATCACATCTGGCTCCTCCTACCTCCACTGAGAGAACTGAGTCTTCTGTTTTCCTTTAGCAATTCTTTTATTATTATTATTATTAATTGAAATTTTCAGACATTTTGCTTAATTAACTTTTATAGGTTACAAGAATTCACCAACCCAAAGAATGCAAGTATTTTAAATTATTATTTTACCTAGCTTTGAGCTTTGAAGAAGTCTTTAGTAACCTATGACAAGTGAGCTAGGAACAAGTAGAGTGCAGGTGAAAAGATGGCAAGGTTGTCTGGCAATGTAGCCTCCTTGCAAAAAAAAAAAGGAGGCTGAGTTACTAGAAGGGGTCTGAGATCTCTTGAACAGTAGGATAAAATGCCATGGCTGGACTGAAGCCATTAGACTTAAAGGTAGGGCTAAGAGTAGCCATCAGAGGTTCCTGCATATTGGTCTTGGATACATTACTTAACCTCTTTGGATCTTAGTTTTCCTGAATTTCCAGTAATGGATATTAATATACACTTCCCAAGATTATCATGAGAATAAAGGCCTACCTACTGAGTGCGAAACTTTGATTTAGTACAATGTAACATTATATTTATTCATTGATTTTATAAAAATTGTTAGTGAATGCTTATCTATTCCTGAAATGTTTCTGTGCTTGGGAATCAAATAACTGAGATAATCTGACAAAAATCCTCACCTTGTATTTGCAGTGTTGTGATGGGAGATTGTCAAATGAGCAATGAAACATCATAAATAAGGGAAATGATATGAGTTGGAAGGCGAGGAAATAAACCATGAGGGAGAAGGATGCAAGTATTGAGAAAGACTTTGCTATTTTAAGTGAGGTGTCTGTACCAGATCTCAATGACTTGATGGGCACTGGGGTTGGTGGATACTGAGGAGAGCAGGCATGAGCTGTGTAATATCTTTTAAAGAACATACAGGGACTGGAAGTCCCAGCACCAAGGCTCCCAGATTCCAGCAGGAATCAAATGGGCAGGTGCATATAGAAACAGGTGAGTGAAAGGAAAGGAGGGAGAAATAATTATTTTGTTCTTACTGCCAATTTCTCAATAGATCATGTTTTCCTTGATGCCAAGACAAAGAAAGAAGACACAAAACACAGCAACCCCAGGGGACAGGGGAAAACAGTATGATTAAAATGAGGTGGTAACTTCAGAGGCACGAGTGAGTTTTCTTATCCTTCAGTAATAGCTGCTCCTTTTTTCATAAGATTAGAAACAGTGGAGTGCATCTGTAGCTTTCATTGATGGGTTTTATTTTTGTTTTTTTTTTTTATGTTTGGCTTCATAGAAAAGATCCCCAGACTAGAGATTCTAATTATCACTTAGTATTTCTCAGGAGCCACCTACAACCCCATCCCCAACTGAAGTAGTGAATGACGTAATTCAACATGGGAACACAAGGTAAACAATCTCACCTGGCCTGGTATCTTTGTCCTACCTATCTTTGCACTACCCATATTGCAAGGTCCCTTTTCTCTCTCTGGCTCTGAATACTCTTCCAGATCAAGCTGCCCTGTACTTCCATTATGCCAGAGATCTTCACATGAGAAGCATCATTACCACAGACGAAGCTGCTGTTTCCCACTAGAGTATCCAATTTGGATCCCGAGAACACCCATTTCTGACAAGCTCCTTGGTAATGCCGATGATGTTGATCTAGGTACCACATTCTGAAAACCAATGCTGTATACTAACCTTTTCTCCTGACCCTTTCTGTACTTTTCCCAGGGGTCAGAGTTATAACAAAGCAACAATTTTCTCTCTGCCCCCAATTTTGGAACATATTTCCCCTTCCCACCTTATTCTTGTGTTTTCTGAAGCCTTCTCCAGGTCATAGGGATCCTTCTCCCATGTCCTTGAAGAAAATGCTCCTATATTTCCTCACAGTCGACTGAAACAATTCCTTCTGCCTCACATATGTGTTAAGAAGCCTTCATTTTCAAAACTCTCCTAGGTTAAATTTTCTCCCACTCACTACCTGATCATTCCCTTACATCCTCTGAAGAATCTTGCTGCTGGTTCACCTCTATGCCACTTCCATGAAGGGTGGCTTGCCCCTTGTGGAAGAGGTTCCCTTAAGACACCCAGCTACCAGTCATTGCTCCTGAGAACTGCTCCACCTTGGAAACAACAAATCTTAAAATCACATACTATGAACACAACACAACCTCATTTTACCTGTTCTTAGATGAAAAAAACAAACACCCGAGTGCCATTATTATCTCCATGACAGGCATCACCATTTGAAATATACGTTTTATTATTTTGTTGCTGTTGTCTGTGGCCCCTGCTGATATAGTTACAAAGGTAGGTATTTTTGTGATTTTTGCTCCTGATGCCTAGACTAGATATTCAGTAAGGACTAAATATTTTTTGGATGAGCTAATAAATCCATGAAATTGATTATGAAATTCTTGATAATTGATTCTGAGTCCACTACTAGCATCTGATGAATGTCTATTCAGTGACTAATACCAGGAGCCAAACACACCTGTGGGAGAATCAAATAAAGGAATGGATACCTTCATGCCACAACATCAAGAAAGGAGGACAATTGCTGATGGAACAAAGGATAAAAAGTAGCCTTCCCTTCGTGAGATCCCAAGGTCAGCTTGCAGAGTGTCATGACTCAACCTTCACACTAGACAGCAAGGTTCATCCTATTACTAATACATGCTTGTTTCAGCCCCAGGAGGCTGGTTTCAATAAAAGGGCAGTAGAAACATACTTACCAAGTGGCCTGAGTGTTATGACATGGTAAAACTCTTAGAACATATCTAAATAGCTTTGGATAAACGCTGACAAGAGGGATAGTGTCCAGGTGCTGACATCATGCTCTGGGTCAAATTCCTATTTGTCCTTAGATTTAAGCTCAGATCCACATGCGACATATTTATGATCACCATCTGAGTTTAAGGGAGACAGCATATGGGGTTTATCTTTGGTAGAACTGTATTAATTTGCAAGGATGCCCTCAATTAGTCTAACTCACTAATCTCCAGACTTGCTCTGTGCAGGACTCCTTCTTGGCTGAAGGGTAACAGGACCTGGAGTTATGATCTTATTTTCTCTGCCCTAAATTGTCTTCTTGCATTCCCTGTTCTTTTGTCAGGAAGAAAAGTCAGGTAGAGAACCCATTCAGACATCCTGTACTAGAACTGACAGGCAGGAGCCCTCCAGAGAAAGCTGCTCTCTACCACATGTCCTGTAGAGATCATCATGCCACATTATTCCTCCTGCTAATCTCCTCTTTGCTGCCAGCAGCTCCACAGTAGCTATCGTCTCACCACAGACACCAGTGAACACCAGACAGAAAGGCTCCTTCACAAAGAGTGACTGGAGGTTCTGTGGATCGCCCCAGACAGACTCACATCTTGAGGTGTGTGAGGTGTGTGAGGTGTTGAGGTGTGAGGTGTGTGAGGTGTGTGAGGTGTGTGAGGTGTGTGAGGTGTGTGAGGTGTGTGAGGTGTGTGAGGTGTGTGAGGTGTGTGACCCAGACCCTGTCTTTACCTTCACAGAGCTTAAGTGACCTTCAAGGCTCAGAGCCTGTAAGCCAGATCCTCTCCCACTAGAGAGAAGTACACCTGCCTCACATGTGAGGGTTTCTGTTCTTCCACTGTATCCTACTGGACATAGCCCTAAAAGGGAGAATTCTTGCTATCTTTTTTACAGTAGCCCTTTTCTTCACCCATTTGCAGAGACAATGTCCTATTGAGTCTTTCACCTAATAACACTCTCCATTTGTCCTAGTAACATTATAAAAATAAATGGGAATTAGGGTAAACTATGGGCTCTGAATGTGGGTTCCATTAGGTTCATTGTAACTTGAGGCCCCTTATTTACTTTACCCTGAATTTCAATTTCATCATATGTCAAACAAGGGCAGTGTTGCATTCATCGCTTCATACATAGAATATTGAGTTTCTATCACAATGAAGGCTTTGTGTTTGGTTACTAATACATTTACTTAATATTTTATATGTACTAAGCACTGTTTCCTTTTTCTATTTTAAGTTAATGATCTCATTTAATTCTCACTAGGCCCTTCACATTGGGAGTGATGGGGGATGTCCTGTATGCTGCGAATATGTTTCTCTTACTGCTTGATGAATAAATGCTAATTGGTCATCCAGGCAGGAAGTATAGTTGGGGTGACCAGACTAGGAGAATTCTGGGAAGAGGAAGGCAGAGAGGAGCCCCCAGGGAAACACCATGTAGCTATCCGGAAGATAGGATGCTGGGCATTCTCTGGTAAAATAAGGCCATGTGGAAATACATAGATTAATAGTTATGGGTTAATAATTAAGAGAAAGTTAGACAGTAAGAAGTCTGAGCCATTGACCAAAAAGTTTATAATTAGTATAAGTCTCTGTGTGTTTCTTTGGGGCTAATTAACTGTGGGACCAGATGGGACAGAAATTTCATCTACATAGTGGGTACTATTTTCCCCATTTCATATATGAGTAAACTGAGGCATGAAATAAAGTAACCTGTTCAAGATAAGTAAGTAGATGGTGGATCAGGAATCTGAAATTAAGCTGTTGGCTTCAAGGCTAAGTTCTTCTGTGAGCTGTCTATCAAGTATACTGCCTTCCAGATATTAGGGATACACAGTTCAGAAAAGGAGACTTCACTCAGGCCTTCATGACAGTCACTGAGTAGTGAGGTCAAAAGACACTGAGCATATCATTATAAAAGCTGAAAAGAAATATTCTCAAAGTCAGAAGTACTGTGAGGACACCTAATAGTGGTTCTTGCCCTCTTCTGCACTGAGGAAGGGACACTTGATCTGTGTTTTCATGCTGACAAGAGTTAATCATTTGGAAAGGGACAAAACATTTGAAGTAATAGAGCCTAATACATGCAATGAACCTGTAATAGAAGTGAGACCTGAATAAGAGGAACTAAGGAAGGCAGTATGGCCAGGGTGAAGAAACGGATAGGGTAGTGAAGAGTTGGCAAGGGGTTAGTGAAGAAATAGACAGGGTCACCCACTTAGGTCCCAACAGGCATTTTAAATAATCATGCCATAAGAAGAATCGCAGTTCATTAAGGGATTATTATTAGACTATATTTTATTATAGTCAGATGCCTTTGAAAATACTTTGCCCATAACATGCCAATATGATTAACTAGGAAAATATTTTCCAAATTTGTACAGTACTAAAAATCAATGGTTTGAATTAAAGCAGAGCTAAGCTAGATGGGCAGCCCCTTTGGGGGACCCCCCCAACCTGGCTACAGGGAGGTGTCATTTCACTTTCCAATAAAATCCTGCTTGCTTGCTCTTCAAAAAACAAAAATTCATTAACTGAAGTAAGTCTAGACAACTCTTCTCCAAAAGATTTTCATCACTGTGGTGTCACCCAGCAGCATCCAGGGACGATGTCCTGCTTGGTTAAGATGATATGTACATAACCAAGAACTTACAAGTAAGATAATGAGGGACATTGGAAAATTAGTTTAGCCATGGTCTGTCCCTGATTGGAATCTGTGGAACCAAAGTGTTTAGTGTCTCTGCTGATAAAAAGGCTTCAATTTCACTTCTGCCTAATAGATGTTAGGGGCTTATAGTATCACCTTAGTTGGTGCTGGAGTCCTGTGGAAGTGGGAAGCTTATCTGAAGAATTCTGTCTTCAGAGATGTGAAAACTTTAGAGCAGGAGATGATGCCAAGACCAGCCAGGGAACATCTCCTGTGTGCTGGATGATGACTGATGGCAAACATCCTAGTGGACCAGGACCAAAGCCAGTGAGGGAGATTACACTGAAAAATTGGTGCATAATGACTTCACAGTATGGAGTTGAAGACTTAGGTACATTAAAGGAGGGGCTGATAACTGATCAAATCCAAGTCTGTGGCCTTGTATGCTTTAGCTCAGAACAAGCTTTCAGATGTACATATCCCACAAAGAGCAAGTGATCCATTTGTGAAGGCAGGAGTGATGGGTACTTTTGCCTGAACCTGAGCACCTACATGCCTGGGAACATTATCAATGCCTGTTGTTGACTCTGCCCTGTGGAATAGTTGTCTGGCATAGCAGAACACAGTGAAACCTTCTGTCAGAATGCACAGACCCAGCAGTACTGATACAAAACTCAAGCTTCTACCTCGAGCCTGGGTCTTCCTTCCTGTCAAACTCTAGGTCACACTGTTCACTTCTTTCATTACTGATTCTTTAGTGTGGCAAGGGTAGATGGCTGGCAATCATGTGTAGACATTGCTAACCTCAGTGTCCCTTACCTTGGGCTTTGACATCATCCACCACAGGACATGGGGTCTTCACAATCACATCACTTGGCCTGGAGCGTCGCCCTGTGTTGTCTACTCCCCAGAGAGTGAACCTGGTGGAGAGGTAAGAGAGTGGCATTACTAGAGAGGATATGTCTGGGGTTGGGGCTGAGCAGCTCTGTCTGGAGTCCCAGCCTTGTCTGAATAGGAGGTTGGGACACTTACTGCTGCCATCTAGAACTCTTGTTAGAGAGCAGTGCCACTGCTTCCTGTAGTCTGTGGTTGGCATAATCTGTCTTGAGGGGTGTCTGATAGAAAGCATCCTAGTGAAGGATACTTCTTCCCCACGTGGAACCTCCAAGCCCAAATCTCATCACCATTGCTGGAAATTCTCAGGCCCAGCTCAGACCTACTCAGTGTGATACAGGGACTAGAAGCCTGTGCCTTACCAAGCCTTGAGACTTCAAATCGTTTATCTATTATACCTCCTAATTATTGTTGCAAAACAAATGGTGTTCAAAAGAGAGATGACCTCATGCCCACTGTTCCTTCCTCACACAGAAGCACAGAGGATAGTCAGAGCAGGGACCTGAATGCCCAAGATGCCATGTGTCCTTCTTTTTCCTCCTCAACCTCACGCCAACGTCATGAGGCCTTAAGTAGGCAGGCTTCACCCTATCAAGACCCCTGGTCTAGTAAGGCCTAAAATGTGACAACCTGCTTAAATCCAAAGGCCTGGGCAGGATCATAGGCATTGGGTGCCTAAAGGACTTTCTCAGCTGGGGGGTCAGGGCCAGGCATTCAGCTTTCTTTCTTACCAACAGAGTGTGTTCAGACCACCTCATCATGTTTACCTTATGCCCTGCTCAGTGGTCTTCCACAGTGGCACCACCGTCAACAGCCCTCTGCCACCAAATGCACTGATTCCAAACTGAGCATCTTGCTGCACCTCTCCTGCCGTGCCTTCCCAGAGGAAGCATGGGGCTGCACTGACATTCCTTATCTCCACCCCAGCCCTGGCAGCCATGATATGCTCTCTCATTTGACTCTGTGCCTCATCAGCTTCTTGGTCCTGTCTCTAGAATTGTTCCCCAGGCCCCCAAACCTGGAGCTGCTACACCCGAGCTTTTTGGAACCAGATGCATGTCTGATTCCAATTTGTTAACCCAGTCGCAGAGCACATTCAACTAAGGTTCTGAGGGTAGAAGTAGAGGTACCATGGGCTACCCCCATGCAAACTTACACCTCATGGTGGGTGATTCCCATGCCAAACCATGTTCTCTGTGACCCCTAATAGTACATTAAGCTAGAAATCCCTGGGATTCAATATAGAACACATCTATACTTTGGGAATCTGAGACCCTTTCATGGGGAGCGGATCTTTTTTCTTCTGCTTGGGCCGCAAGGTTTGTTCTTTGCTGCTGACTACATCACTTCCAGAATTTTCTTGAGAGAGCCAGGAGATGCAAAAGCCTGATCTTTGCAGGCTGACACTCCAGGCTGGCCTGGACATGGTCTTGGGTTATAAGTGTAGCCTTGTTGCCCTAGTGCTCTTAAGTAGAGGATCTTCCTTCAACTCTACAACTCCAGGTTAGGCTCCAGTCTGGCTACTCCTGCCACCTGCCAGTAACCTGAAGGTACCAACCTCAACTCTACAGCTCCAGCCCCTATTTTCAGACCATCATAATTTAATCCTGGACCCTTAATTCTTAAGTTTCTCTGGACTGTGATATCCTATCCTTTGGGTACCAAACTGGCTGCCAGATGGAACTTGTCTTTCAGTTCCTGGGATGAAGTCAGTCACCAACGTCCAGCTAGGCCACACTCCAGACAGCTATCCTTCCTAGCTTGCCTTGCTATAAATCCCAGCTACATTGTGTCAGATATTGAGCTGGGACAAAGAAGCCCCTGTCTGCATTAAATTTCACATAGAAGGGCAGTTAGTATGAAATGCAAGCTGCTAACCTCTGATAATTTAGTAGTACATCTTATTTTTAATACAAGGCGGATATTAGGAAAGGAAATGCCTCACACAACCTTCCAAGTACAGACAGAGCTTGACCTTAAGAACTATTCCTCAGCAGGCTCAGCCCTTCCCCTTTGTCCCACATCCCCAACCCCCAGAGAGGGAGAGAGCAGCCAGGGTATTTGACTACTAAATAAAGGCTGAGGAGCACTTTTCCACATCTTCATGTGGAAATGCCACGTGCTGTCATTCCAGGAAAGCCTTCTCTGTTTGTTGTTAGCATTTTCATCCCGCCATAACACTCTCATAAGACAGCAAGAGGGTTAGATGGAATTACTGACAGAGGAGATAAGCCTTGCTCCAGATCCAGAGGGCTCATGTGTAAGTCCGTTTACTACTTCTTCCAACACTTCTGGGCTGCCTCCCCAGCCGCAGGCTGGGACCTTTCAGTGCGTAGTTAGCGACGTGGTGATGACACGGGAGGAGGCATGTGTGCGTGGGAACTGACACAGACTGGCTCAGGCCCCGGGCCTGGGCCTTAAAGGTCTGGAGCCTAACACTGAGGAAGACCGTAAGCCTGTCAGGGTCTGGCTGCATCGCCTGCCGCTTTTCTGTTTTCCTCAGGCTGCCAATGCTGGCTTTTCGGATCCTCTGCTTGACACACCCATCTCTATCTTCTGTCTGCTGTAATGTGCTCAGAAATGCAGGGCTCCCCTGCCAGCTGTTGGTGTTGTGGCCAGAGGGTAGTGGGAGGGGGCAGCGATCCCTTCCCCACTCTAAAATGAACATGTTGGATCCTATACACTTACGAGGTTCTTAACTGTGTTTGTGCCACATGGTCCTTTTTCAGAATCCTTCTCAAGTGGCATTAAATGAAATATATGAAAAAGAAAGCCGGAATTCAATTGTAACTTCATAATCCCCAGTGTGGACCAGCTCTTGCATGCAAGATAAGGGTCCTATATCCTGGCAGAATAAACTGGGGCTGCCTGCCTGTAAGATCCAATGTGGGGGGAAAAACAAACCCACCTCAGCTCCTAGCCATCATTTACATCCCCACTGTGTGATTCTGGGCAAAGTTATTTAATTTTCATGAACCTCAGTCTCTTCAGCTATGAAATAGGAGTAAGTCTAGTCACACAGGGCCAGTTCTCAATAATAATGGACACATTCCTCTTAATTTGTAGATAAGAAAAATCAAATGCAGAAAAAGTTAAGAGTCCTATTTAAAGTCACTTTATGGTTAGGCACAAAACCAGGCTCGCTGGATGCTTTCTTGGTAACAGCGATGGAAGTACAATTATCCCTTGCTTCTCAACAGAGAGGAATATTGTGGCTTGTAACCCACTTCATTCTTTCCCCACACATTGGATCTTGTGTTCAGGCCACTCCAGGTCATTCTGCCAAGATCTAGGAACATCTTGCTAAAACAAGAAGAGCTGGTCTCACTGGGGGTTACAAAGTGCCTCTGAGTTTCAGATAGCTTTTTCAGCAATCTGCACTGCCACCTAGTGGAAATCGGCTGTGCTTTAGCCTGATGCATCTCTTCCACTCCTATAATCAACACAGACAGGAAGTAGGTGATTTACAAAACATAGGATGTGAACACTCCATCACCAAGGCTGTTGGATGTTGGAGAAGATCTTAGGCCTGAGGTCTTTGACCAGGAAACAAAGCCACATCAGGCCAACTCGAGGACTTTCCTAGACGTGGTAAGGGTCTTTCTGAAAGAGAGCCTTGACGTCACATCTCTTGCTCCACTAGAAATTCTGACTTCCTGATTAACAGACAGGACATACTGATAGGTGTTGGCACATCCCCAGTATAAATGGTCATCTGAGTCACATTATCAGACTTTTAAAAGCAGATGACTGGCCTTCAGTCCCAGATCTGTGTTCCTTTGTCACGAGCCCCTACTCTGAAAGGCCACAGCTTTCCAATATCAAGAGAGCTGCTATGGGTCATGGCATCCTTGTCCAAAGACCAGACAGTCATTGGTATTGGGATTCTCACCCTTGTGTGTGCGTCCATTCCAGATTCTCAGATCTCATTTGTCTTTATGCATTTTGCTCTGCACAGCCCTTAGTGACGTCTCTTATTTCTATATGAAAGATACACAGCTAAATATCTAAGTTCATCACAATCAATGACACTCAGACTTTTAGTTCTTTCCATTGTTGAACTCCTTAAAAGTGGAAGTGGAGATGATTTATTCTGGAAACCTTGACTCTATGCCTGTGACCTCATCTGTAAACTGTTAGATGTTTTTCATACTGATGGGGTCAAGAAGCTTCCGAACTGTATCACTATGTATTCTGTGTTAGATCCCGAATTTTTCCATCATGACTTAGATTCTATCACTGAATCTCCTCTTTTGGCATCTCTTATGTCTCTGCTCACAAATATTTTACAGTTGTTCCCAGAACACAGGAAGACCGGGAGAGTTTGCAAAGAACACAGGGATGTTCTGAGCATGCTGATATAACTCACTATATTTTCTTTGAAGAAAAAATGCTGACCAGCATCTCAACTCTATAAATTATTTCAGAGCCACTAGAGATAGCTTTTTACGGCATAGTTCTTGGCATTCTTAAAAAAAAACAACAATAAATATCTTTTCTCTGATGTACAGCATTCACTCTCGTCTCCTGGGCTCATTTTCATCCACTTCTTTTTATTCACCATCTGCTTCAGACCCATCAGACCACCCACTGCTCCTGTCCATGCCTCCCTACCTTTCCCTGGGGTTTCTAACCTAGTATGCCCTTTCCACTTCACAGTAGCTACTGAATCCCATACAATTCAATGCAGGATCTAGACACTGACTTGACTTAGAATAAACCACTTCCTTCTTTCTTTCCAACATGTCCCTGGCCTTTCTAAGTAACATGTATTTCCTTCTGCCTTGGGTTTATATATGTTCTCTGTGCATTGTAAACCCCTTGTGACAAGCCTACTTCAGAAGTTTTCTCCATAATGCCGATTGAGATATAGAGACTAAAAATCTCTTGCCAAGTCTCTGAAGGGACTCCGGTAACAAAGGGAAGCCAGCAAAGATTCCAGGGCTTCAAGGGTAAGGAATCGTTCAGGTGTGTGCCACTTACATGTAAATGGTGTCAGGTTCCAGGCATCTGATGATGAGGGAAATGGTGGTGAACTGCTTGTCTGGCACCTGAGATGGCATGGCACATGGAGCCTTTGCCCCGGAGATGATGTCATCTACAAAGCTCAGCACTGTTTCTGCACAAATGAAAAGGAATGGGAAAAGTATAAAACAAAAACAGAGATGCCCAAGCAATGAGAAATGCTATGAAAACTTGCTGAAACGTCTTAAATTCCCAACAGATGAAGGAAACCTTGGAGGAAATCATTATTTTTTTCTGACTATTCCACTGTTAGCCAATCAGCTAAGAGTCATTTGTCCAGAGTTAGCTCAAGGACTACTAAGGCAAAATCCACATGCCACATCTTTGAACTTTTCCATGAAACACCTTGGCATTGATAGAGAACAGACGTGCTGATCCCTGGGCCCTAACATACCTTTATCAATAATATCAATACCTTATCAACACACCAATGGAAGAGCCCCAGAAATAGCAATGGAGATCTTTCCATGCTTCAAAGATGTTTCGCCAAGACTCATCACCAAGTTCACTAGAGGATCTTAGATTGTGGGCATTTTCATTCCCAATGAGGACTATATTTTCTGTGAAAGTCTTAGGAAACCAACTTTTGTTGGTTTTTCTCTAAGTGTAGGTAGCAGAATAGTAAAGCATGGGACTTTTATTTCTGTGGGTCATTTCTACTCATGTAAGGCTTCCCTTTTTCTCTCAGGACTTGACAAAAGTCAGTTTGCTTTAGGACAAGACATGGATCAAGAGCATCTGTTTGCACATGCCTTTGCCTAGAGGGGGTTATTAGCAAAGGAATTTTTTTTCTGTAATCATGGCAGTGGTTAGCAGGGAATTGTTTCTTAATTGTGGGCTAGGATAACTAGTGTACTGTGTTGTTGTTGCTGGTGAGTGTGCCTAGAGGCAATGAAATGGACACCTCTTTTATAAATAAAAGAAAGGCAAAATCAAAACAAGACAGTCAGATGCTCATGATGCAAAAACTTTTAAATGGACAAGATGGATGCTGCCTAGAAGAGGCAACAGCTGTTACTTTTCCATGCTTTCCAGTGCTACCCTGAGATACTGGGAGCCTGAAGCAATACCACGAGGAAAGGCATTCTTTTCTTCTACTTTTACTACCTTGGAACATGACTAGCCCAAGTGAGTAGAGACTGTGCTCACCTGTCTCTACTTTGGAGTGGTCCATCCGGTCAGTGACTTTCTCTTGACGGATCAGATAATCTACAATCTGTACTCCAATTGGTGGCTCCGAATGCTCCCACTCTAGGACCACGAGGGTGCTGCTGGGTTCATGTTCTGTAGAAAGTCTCAGCCTGAGTGCAGAAAGGAAGGAACACGAAATGGGGACCTAGCTGAGACCTCTCACTCTTCAGTTACCATCTCAGTTGCCACAGGACACTCTCTCTCTCTCTCTCTCTCTCTCTCTCTCTCTCTCTGTCTGTCTGAGAACTGGTCTTTCTCACTAGATGCTGAAGTTCCCAAGGCCTTAGGCAGTTTATATTTGGATCTTATAAATGAATAAATTTGCAAAGGTGTGAAGATCAATGAATGCCTACATAGTACATGTGTTTAGGAACTGGGCTTTACTGATAGGTCTGTTTTATATGGTTTGAAATATAATTTCTGGCTTTATTCTTGGGGACTACTAAGCGAATATTGTGCAATGTTCACTTCAAAGCCCATTGAAGGTGGTGTCCAAGAGAATCTTGCATTAATAAATGCATAACCACCAGGATCTGGCAAGCCTCCCCCGCCCCGTCCCGCCCCTTGTTCTGATATGCCTCTTTCTCCAGCCCATCTGCTGACTGAACTTCAGAACAGACTCAGCTTAGAAGTAAGGCTCAAAAGAGAAAGTTGGCCACGTGCCACGTTCTCATTGAGGAAATGTCCCGAGTGTGCTGCTTAGGTCCTGGTGTCAGTTTTGTCCTTTGGGTGCCTGTGAACCCTGGCTCCTAGTTCAGTCCCAATTTGCCTCTATTTTCAGTTCTTGGTCACTTCATTCTTTTCAAGCTGTCTTTTGGCCATTGCTTTCCCCTGCTACCTCACACCTTTCTGTACATCATAGAGAGTCAGTCACCAACGCTGACATTCACTGGCATGGATTTCCTGACTGTCCAAGTACTATCAATATTTGCTTCTATGTTCTGACTTCTTGTATATGGCTCATGTTCCCTTCTTGCTCCCAATGCCTCGTTTCTCTCCAGACCACTACATTGAGAGGGTTTTCCCAGTGTCTGCTGACTCTAGTCTTCCTCTCTCACAATATCCCTACCATTCATCGACATCCTTGTCCTAGGTCCCTCCATCTGAAAAGTGTCTGCAACTCTAGCCTTCCAACCTTCTACCCAGGTCACAGGTGCGTCTCATGGTCTCAAGATCAAAGGATGAAACAGCAGAGCTGCATCCCACCACACAACCTGCCATGTTCAGTTTCAACTCAACGATTATGTTCATAGTGTTTTTATTGCAAGGCTGTGCATTGGTACACAAACCCAACCCCAGGCCTTCTTTTATGCAATTTAATAAGTATCAGAAACACACAATTGTGCGTGTGATAAAACTTTAACGTGAAATCAAGAGTTGCTGCTTGGGGAATAGGAAGCAGTTTGACTAGTAGGAAAATAATAGGAAACACATGGTCATCTGCTAGTGGCTACTATGAAGGAGTGCATAGTTTGCTTATGACATTAGGATGGAAGAGGCCCAAAACAGTGCGGATATTGACAAATTCATTAATTAGAGTCATATGCAGAATGCTAATTTGAAGAAAAAAAACATTAGGAAGCTTAAGTTAGTAACTAAGCTTTCTGAGAACTCAGATTCTGTGAAAAAAGGAACTAAGGCCAGCCCCTATTGAGAAATAGAAGTGTGTATGATTTACATGGACTTATGTAAAAGTAGAGTACGTTTCTATTTCTAACTACCAATTAAATAAATTAAAATCTGTCACTGACAAGCAAAGTGCAGTTTTAATAGACATTTCCCATGTACAATACTCTGCTCAACTTGATCTTTAGTTATCACATTTAGTTAATGCATGTTTAGAAACGAAATTAGCCTTAGGACATCATGGCTGGATCTTCCATCCCTCCTTTTTATGGTTTCCGTGTTACTGGGTACGTTTCTTACCTGGTGAATTGGTCTAACAGCACCAGATTTTCTTAGGATCTCCTTTTCTACCACAAGAAATGATTTTCACTAATTAGGAACTTGTTTTTATTTTGATTCAGATATCCAAGTTACAATTACAAGGAGCAAGATGCCAATGGCTGGAGCATTTAAAAGCACCTGCACATAGAGTAAATTGACTTCCACTGATGATCTGTTGGTAAACATTGGTACCCTCTTTCTCAGCATTTTTCTTCTTCAGTTCTGTCTCTCTAAAATCTACCCTTACCTGCAGACTGGTCAGAGGACAGCCTCCACTGGCAGATTCCTATCTGCGGTCCAGTGTTCTGTGTAACTAGTCCTCTAGATGCTGCAGGTATTGACTCTCACTTTGGGCTGTCCTGGCTTTATGAACCCATGGGGTCGAGTGCCACCACCTTGTCCTACCAGCACCATTTCACAGAAATAATATTTTGTGCCTTAACCTTTGTGGAAGACACCTTATTATAGGATAACCTAAATTCCTACATTGGGCCCTGGCTCCTTGTCTTGGCCAGTTCTGTTTAAGCTTCCCATGAGAGATTAGGAATTTGGAGGTGTTCACTCTTAGCCACCTCTGAAACATCTCATCCCATCACTTCAATTCAGACCTTCCCTCATGTCCATCCCAGGCCTCTGCCTTTCACAGTGTGTGTTGCTTACAGAGCACCCATCCTCAGAGCTTTGACTCTTAGGTACCACTTTTTTTTCCTGAGATTGATTGAAATCCTGTTATCTCTAGGTTTTATTTCTTTCACAGAGCTCTACCTGTCTCTCTGCCTACTGAACATCTACACAATTGTTCCTCAATAACTAAAGGACAAGCTCAAATGGGATTGGCCTTTTCCTCAACTCTGCACATCTCCTGATAGGTCCCTTCTCAGCTATGGTGCATTCCCAGTTAACAGCCATCTTGCTCTATTGGTTCCATCCGAAATCATTTCAATTTTATGCTCTCTGGTATTACAGTTGCTCTCAGACAAGACCTGCATCTTGCTTTAAAACTTTGGAAACAATTTAATCATCTTGAAGTCATGTTCTTTTCCATTTATTGACAGAGTGGCAATGAGAGTGTTTGTCCACTCCATGTAGTGCCTGGAACCTAGGAAGTATTTGAGACATGATAGTGTTGTTGGTCTTGTTAAGCCCTCACTATAGACCTCTACTTTCTGCCATAGCAACAATGCTGCTACTCATATGGCCTTCTAACCATGCTGTCTTGCTTTGTCCTCCATATGGAAGAAGTTTAATGGCTATTTGCTCCATAAAGTCTTTATTGTTGCCCAAAGGCAGGCTCAATGTGAAGATTTATCACACTACTTCCATTAAATAGCCTATGTGCATGCTCCTTCTATTATACTGAAAGTTCCCAATGGCAGGAACTGTGCCACATTCTTCTTTCCAAACTCCAGCACTCAGGCTATTGCTTTGAGACAAATATCTACTTGATCCTATTTTTGCATAATGGTACTGAGGAATACAAGCAGGAGAAGGCATGGAAAGGGAACCATACACAGGCTGTGGGAGGGGCGCACAGGTAGGGAGTCCATCAGCTCCAAAAGCAGTAGAGTCACATCGACACCAATCCTCGATGACATCTCCAGTCCCTGAACACCAGAGAGAGCTCATGGTGGCCTCCTGTAAGAGCTGAACAAGAAAGAAAAGAGTAAGTGTTAGGAAACCATGGCTGGCTGGTCATTACAAAGAGACCTACAGCATCATGGTTCTATGTGGTCCTAAATCACTTTCAGAGAAAAGGCTGTATCAACAAAATATTACCATTCTTTAGTCTGAAAGTGTATCACAGAAGATGGAATCTAGGATAACCACAGCCCTGTAGGATACCTGGGGTGTCCTTCTCCCATTAATGTAATTGTTCATCTCTATAGTTTAGAGTTGTCATCTTATCAACCAAATGTGGTGATACATGCTTATAATCCCAACACTTGGAGGCAGTAGGATCTTAAGTTAGAGGACAGTTAGATACAAGTTTGAGGCCTGTCTAGAAATCCTGTCTCAAACAAACAAATAGCTTTCACTTTGAAGGAAAGTCAGTTTCCATCCTCTGCCTCCTCACCATTGCATTCTATCATACCTCATACTGAGGACTCTAGTAACAGTGACGTCTTGTCATACCACACATTCCTGGGTGGCCTATCTTTGGTATACTTCCCTCTACCCAGAGGTGCTTTGTTCTTCTTCTAATGCTTCTCTATTCACCCTTACTTGTCCTGTTCATCCTGCCCTAGTTCTTAATGGTCACTCAGCCTGTTCTGTGATCCACTTTGAATATGTATGTGGTTCTGCTTTGGGTTGTGATTAGGTGTTAAGCATCTGCCTTAGACTGTGACTAGAAGCTGTGTAATATAAAGGCTAAATTCTGAGTCTACATCAGTCTTCTGTGGATGAGAACCTCAGCTTTGTCAATCATTGCCTGTGACCTTGGACAACTTACAGAAACTGACTTTTCTTGCTGATAAAAATATCACTTTCCTAGTAGGGATATTGTGACAATTAAATGAAACAATCTATGCCAAGTGACATAATATATGCTTCACACCTGATTGATACACATTATTGTTTTTGAATGACAGGGTTGAGTCTTACATAGAACCCTTCTTGCATAGATAGTTCTTTACATAAAATAAGTACATGGAGATGTTTGCTGTGGAATAAAAAAAATGAAGATAAAATCAGACCAAAGATGCAACAGCACTTATGACAGGGGCAACTCTCTGGTGAAAGAGCTGATCTTGAACAAATGATGGGCTCTTGCTCCCTCAACTGAGAAAGTCCAAAGGTGAAGGTTCCAGGTTATCTGAGCTCAGAGCTGAGTCTCTGAGGCACTCACTCCACAGTTTCAACCTTGGCTTTGCTGTGATTTTCTCCCCTCCACCCCAGGGCTTCTTGTTCACAATGATAAGTTAGGGAAAGGGGTAGCAGCTGTCCTATAGACTAAAAAAATTACAAGGAAAAGAAGGAAGTTGGGGAAGGTGGTTGATGGAGAGGGGAGGAAAGGAAGAGGAGAAGGAAAGGCTATGCCTCCACAAATACCTACACAGAGTCATTATCTATGTCCCATTCTTTCTGAGTTTAACATCGCTTACTTAATGTTACCAACTGGAATGAGAGTCAACTGACTTCCTCCCAAGACTGAGAGGCTCTAAGAAGCAGGAACTGATTCCCAATCAGTTATGATTTGTATAGTTTCTAGTTGATAAGATCCCTTTGGATACTAACTCTTGGACAGATGTTAATAATGAGTTAGTGTGAAGGACTGTGGGAGTGAGAGTTAGGTGCTTGCTCAGGGTACAGGCTGGTGAATGAGGCAGTGCCAGGGCCTGAGCTCTGCATGGCTCACTGGACATCTTAGGTCTTCCCATTATGTATGCTTAAAGTAACACTGAGGCCACCCTCAAGTCACTCACTTTATGCTTTTCATACTGAATTCATACTGAATTCAAAAGGTAAACTTCTTGTTTGATGGCATCTTTAGTCAATAGCTATTTGATAACCATCTACAAGGGTCCATTTCCTGTGCTAAGCATGAAGTATGCAATGACGCAAAAGGAGACACATATGGCCCCTGTCTGCATAAATGCTGCAGCCAGATAATAAACAAGCAAACTGGATTCATGTAAATATCCGAATTCCACAATTGTGTTGAGGAATCTGAATGAGAAGGTAGGGCACTATGGATGCACACAGTAGCAAGAGACTGCAAACGAATTGATTCCCTCATTTTGGGGGAAAAGGATGGGACCTGAGAACAATATGTGAAGTGAAATAAATGAGATGAACACACAGATGTACGATTTCTCTCATATATGGAGATGCCGAAAGAAATTACCTGAAAATAGAAGAGGAAATGTTACATATGGGGAAAGAGGTAAAGACAATGAGGGGGCATGAGAAAGGAAGGTAGAATGGGGTTGAATGTGATCTAAGTACAATACAGGCTTGTATGGAAATGTCACAGTAAAACATATGAAATTGTATTTATACATATTAATGATTTTATTTTTAAAGTTATCTGGTCACAAAATTGTATTAATATAGGTAGAAAATCTAACATTAAGAAGACTGGACCCTTACTGGACTTCTAAAGCCAATTAGAAATACCTAGTTAGGTAGGACTGGATTACAGATGGTCTGTAAGTGGAGATTCCATCTCAAGGACAACGATAAACCAATAGAATGTTTAAACATGGAACATGGTCCGATTTTTAATATAAAAAGTATGGCAAGGTGCATACACACAATATAATTATTTTAAATGCCATTTCTTCAAAAGTTTTACTGCTCCACTTTGATCCATACCGCTCCATGAGAATTCCTACTCTCCAAACCATGTGCTAAATCTAACTGCAACAGGCTGTGGTTTATGGGAAGTGTCCTGTACTGGAGGCTTAGTTTGAGGTGCTGATACCACTGAGAAGTGAAGGAACACACTGACTCCATTATTATATCAGTACACTGGTTGACGCCTAACTTAATGGTTTGGGGAAGTAAACCCTAGGAGGAAGCAATAAGTCACCAGGCCTTGCTTTTGAAGGTTATATATTAGTCTTGGAGTGTTCTTTTTGAAATCTGTTTGTGTTCCAGCTACTACGAGGTGAGGAGACCCCTATGCCATACACGTCTAGTATCATAATCATCTACCTGACCACAGGCCCATGGCAATGGGGCCGGGCAACCATGGACTGAGGTCTGCAGAACTGAGATAGTCATTTCTTTTAAGTTGATAATCCAGGTATTTTGTCACAGAGATGAAAAGCTGATTAATATACAATAGAAAAGAAGAATCAAAAATGGAACCCTTGAACTTCCTTGGAAAGGAAGAGACAGGGAAATTCCACTGTATTAAGTATCTGCAATTTGCCATTCCACGTACTTGCTGGAGAATCCATACTTGTTAACAGATACTTCTAATAGAGTCTAGAAAAGAAAATCCAATGCTGGCTATTGTTTTTATTAAAGAAGAAAAATATAGATTTTCAATTGAGGCTTATCAACAGAATATTTCACTCATTTATTCATCTGTTCATTTATTTATTTAGTAGAGCATCAACTATGCACCAACCCAGGCATTCTGTAGAAGACAAAGCATTTATCTTAGTCCAGAGTGAAGTAAATAACCAAACAATAACTATGGTCATAGGGTGTGCTTTAAGATGTGTACACATAAAGTGGAGGTTCCTTGAAAGAGTCTGAGTTGGACCAGAAACATGAAGGAGGGTACTTTGAGAGCTAGTGATGTTTGTACTGAAACATGGTATGATAGCAGAAGTGTTACAGTGGCCTACAAGTGACAGATTATATTCTTGGGACAGAGATTTGTAAGTCTGAAAGGCTGAATTCATGAAAGAAAATGTACTGTGTTTGACGAGGCACAAAAGTTAAATTTCAGACTATATAGTACTATCAACCTAACCATTTAAGTGAAGGCAGATTGGATCATGAGCTTCTTTGTAATGATGTGCTACGGACTCTAAATTGCACCCAGTCTGAAGAACCATTAAATTACCATGATCCAATATGGCTATAAGTAATTCCAGGTGTTTTCATAAAGGACCAACAAGAAATTTGCTGCAATAAAATGTTTGATTACAGTGAAGCATTGGGTTGTGATAGGGGGTCTCAGATAAGAGAATGGATACAAGATACAGCTGTTGCTTTTGGTGATGGAAAAGATACAAAGGATGACAAGGACACTCATGCCATTTAATGAGATGGGGACTAAATGGTATGGATTTTAGATGCAAGGTAATAATCTAAAGTTTGTTGGGTTGTTTAAATGCTTTAAACTCTTTGTTTATCACAAAGATTTTATTGAAGTATGACACCAGAGCTTATCTAGTTCAATACAATAGACCAAAGAGAATAGATAGAAAATGAACTCACATATTGGAGGAGAAGATACAAACCCAAGCAAAGTCATCAGTGTCATGCTGAACCCATGTCTACCCTCTCCCCAGTTTCTGCAACCACTGTTATTTCTTTGATGGAAAATAAAAATTAGAGAGAAAAGCAGAGTTAGAATGGGGATGCCAAAGATAGAATGTGTCACACACAGAAAAGAGGAGAATGTCCTGATAGTGAGTGAAGTCCATCTTAGACCAGCTTGTCACCACTTAGAAACTAAAGTGTTTATTGAACACAGGGCCAGATAGTTAGTGTCTTCCCACCCCTCTGTGAAACTGGTACAGGGAAAATGGGGCTGCTGAACTTGAACTTCCTTATGCATCCTGGTTGTGATTGATAGCCCCCAAGTCCTTTGTCTCTCAGTGAGCTCCTTTTTATTCTGTAGCTTTGCACATCCCAATTCATAGAATAGCCCTATTGAGCCAAGACCCCACTGTACCCAGACTGATGGCACAGGAAGTATTTGGTTATCAGCTGCAACAATCTGAGGGATTACAATGTTAGATGGACAAGGGTAGGGCAGTCACCATGTTGACACCAGCACACCTTTGGGTGTCCAGTTATATCAGCACACCTTGAGTGCCCAGGGAGCCAAGCCCTTCCTTGTTTGTTCAAGTTCCTCTCTCCTAATCCTCTCCCCACAATCCCATAACCATCTCTTTCAGATTCAGGATGAACCTGTAGGCCTGCAGGAACCTTTGTCGTTTTGTTCCTGTGGGGGGGAAACTGTATTTTCAAACACTCATTGAAATAGAAGAGGCGGGTAGGTGAGAGAAACACACATGCAAAATCCCTCCTGTGGGTCTGAGAAACACCTATGAAACCAACTGTGACACACCAGGTGTCTCTTCAAAGAGAATAAAGGAAGCAATTATCACCCCACCTGGATGGGCATCCCTTATGTTTCAGTTCACTGCTGCAGCTCACTCACCAGCTGCCTTGCAGATAATGCTTAGAAACCTCACTCTTGGAGCCTCTCTATTTCAAGTGCGTGTGTTTGCTTACTCTGGACTGCACATTGGAGGAGGTAAGGGGACAGTCTCTGCTCCTCCTACTCCTGCACCTGGTCTTTAGGGGCTCATTCATTTTCTCCCAACATCTCTAGGAACAGAAAGGTAAAAGCAGAGAAGGAATCATTGGGAAATATCATGGCCTTTCAGCAGGATAAAACATGGGAAGATCAGCATAGATGTTGTGTTTGTCCTGCAAGCCTGTGATGATCAGGGTACCAGACCCTTCCAGTCTGAGGCTGCTAGATCCTTCATCTAGGGTCTGTACTTGCAGAGGGTTCTAGGCTGGGAGATCAGCTAGGGGAGCTGGCCCATGTCCTCAAGGAGGAGACAGAGATGAATGTCTTCCTTAGAACCATGCCCCCTTTGGAAAGGGTATTACAATGACTTTGGTGATTGCAAACCACATGCCTTCCTACCTATTTCTTTCTATTCACCTTTGCTCAGACTCCACAAGTGCATGGCTGTGACTCCTAAATCGCATTACTGTGGATATTATGGAATGTACTGATTTGATTTGACTTAATATGCAAACATGCAAATCTAAACACACTAGGTGTGGCTCTTAGCTGAACAAAAAGATTCTCCACTCTGATTGCAGTGTGGAGCAAGTTCTCTGTTTTTGGTACCTTCCAGAGTCAAGTGTTTCAGCCCTCTTACCCTCTGCGTCTGGTTATTAGTCACCAGTTCATAGATGGGGGATGCTCTGGTCACTTCAAGCAGGACTGGCTCTGCAGGGTTTTCAGGGCTAGACGTCACATGACACAAAGGACAAGAAGAGGGGCATCGTCCCTTGATCTGGCACTCCATTCGGACTCCAGCTGCCATACGCTTGGTGCCAGAGTCTGACAGGCTAGCGATGTATTCTGGGAATGTCAGAACCTTGGGATCTCTTTCCCGCTCCTCCGACTCATCAGATGGGGAGTTGCCTGCCAGACACAAAAGAAAAAGCAACAGTGAGGGAGGCAAGATAGCAAGGACTTCCGTGACTTGGTGGCTCCTGAGTTCTGAAGTCTAACATGGAGAAGTTAGAAAGTGCCACCAAGGGAGTGAAATTGTTATTTTGTCATTCCACTTAATTAGGGGCACATATCTTCCCAATGACATGCATAGTTGGAAATGGCTTTTCAAGCACAAGAATGGGTTGTTTCTTTTCTGAGAATCATTGGCTCCCCTGATCCACTTATCTGTCTGTGGTACACCCATTGCCAAGATTTCACATGATAGAAACAGAGAGCATTCTATGCCTTCGCTTCTTCATACCTACCACCTACCTCTAGCATTATTAAATGAATGAATGACAAAATGTTTTGAAAACACACATATGGCTTCTAACATGCATGAATCACTCATCATCAGTCATAATTCCAGCTGAGATTTGTGGAAACTTCCACTGTCACTGGGGTCAATTCAAAGTCCCCCTTTACAGCTACAGTTATAACCATTGCTACACATGGGAAAGGACAATATCATTAAGGTCACAAATACCTTTGTGAGATTTGGTACTTCAACCCAGGAGTATCTCAACCCAAAGTATTTAGGTCATAGAGCAAAATCAGCATTTCTCAGTTGTCTAATTAACTCATGTGTTCAGCATGCAGAGCAAAGTTTGGCTTTAAAAAAAATTCACTGTTGTTTGGTGAATAGAAGTTAGCTACACAAACTCTTGATCTATTTTGGTGAAAAACATGAGAACTGCCTACTAGAGAATAATTCTTTGTTCCCCACACACGAAAGCCCTGTTTGCTCTTTCTTCCTCTAGTCCTCATGATTATCCATTTAACTCGTTATCTATAAAGGAGTCTGTGGACAGAACTCTCCAGATTTCTTAAGCTATTTCTAACAGTTGGTGTCCCAGGCAGGAAATGATTTTGGAGAGACTGCTGTGCCTTTGGAGATGGCGGGGACACACAGAATGTTCTGGTCTCCTGTGGATGCATTGAGAATGTCATACTTGATGGGACACGGGTGAACTGGTTGAAAGGCTTTGCAGAGTGGTTCCGGGAGGTGATGTGGAGATAGGACTCACTGACTTAGAAAAACAAATGTTCTTTGGGGTGTAGGGAGCTCCCCCATGCCATCTCTTGTTTTCTGTGTAACATGGACCCATGTGGGGACATGGCAGGGTTCCCAAGGCTCTTGATTCCCAAATGAATAACATTGTTACGTGGATGAGACACTTTTTACCCACTACTCTTGACATGGAACTCCTCCTGTGCATGAAGGCAAAGGGCACACTCAGTGACTTTGGGAAACGGTCTATTTCACACTTGTATTTTATTTAATCATAGATCCAGGATTGAGCTCCAATCCCTCCTGCATTGTTGGAGAACTGGACAACTGCACACACAGCAAAAGACAAGGACAATGACATCACCTAGAGCTCAGACTAACCAACACCAAATCACTTCACCCACAGGCTCATCTTTATAAATATTTAGGCTTCTGAAGCTCAGTCATGGTTCCACACTCTGTCTTAGGCTAAAAAGGTATTACTAGGAGTTTTTGAAGGGCCATAGACCAGTTAAGATCCAACCTCCTGTCCTTTGCAGACTGCAGAATGACTAGGTCAAAGTAAGTGGAGATGGAGTAATGTCCTTTGTGAACTATCTGATGTCCATGAAAAGTCTTTATGAGGCTGAGAGCCTTCTCTTCTTTGGCTTTTAATCACATTATCATCAGAGGCATTTCCCTAGCAAACCACAACCTTCCTTTGTTGAGAATCCATTCCGTACGCTTGTAAATCTTCAATATGACCACGAGATGGCGGTAGCAGATCTAAAATGGTTACGTTCTGTGCTGTGGGACTGCACCAGGGAAAATAGATGTTCAGAACCCTAAGTATGGTATAGGTATCTCAACAATGGTATGACTCTTTTCCCTAACACACAATACTAAAAAAAAAAACTAAGAAGTAAAACGATTAGAAAATATAAACTGCATTGGTTCTGGAAAAAAAATATGAGAAACAGGCAATAATAACAGGCTAATTGAAAGAAAAACCACAAGAGAACATTTAAAAAGAAACTTCCCTAAATATCCTTAATTTTGAGAACTAGTTACTTCAAAGAGGCATTTCTTTTCTCCTTTAAACGAACTTCCCTGGCTCACTAGCTAGATGAATTGTACTGAAATAACCACCAGGGGGCACTGTCACATGTACGTGCCCTGTATGGAGTTAACTTCCGGGCCCTCCAGCCCTCTATCATTAAAACCTGTAATTGCTGTTAACATGAGGGGCTGCTCCCCTTGCTGCTGTCTTCTGACAATTAAAATCAAGATGCAGTTAATCCCTGTCAATACCCATCCACCCTACATACTTGGCAAGACTGGAGAATACATAAGGATGGCTGAGAGAAGAGTTTAGGAAAAGATGACAGGTACCACCAAATGCTCCCCCCCCCCTTTTTTTTTCCTTCAGGACCTTATTCTCCATCTTCCGCTCCCAAATCAGGTCCACATGCAAGGTCCCTGCTGAAAGCCAAGGCCAGAGAATCTTGCTGGCTCCATTCTCACATGAGATGAAGCTGTCTAGAGAGAGGCTGGATTTATACAGAAGCAATGAACAGTGAGTTCCCAAAAGCCATCTATTCGGTCTCCAGCCAAGAATAGACATGTGTGTGAGAGAGATTTTTCAAAGAGAAAATGCATTTTCTATGTGCAGTTAAAGATACAATTGGGAAATACTCCTTAAAATGATGGAGTCCATTGGTGAAAGCCCACATAAATCTCCCTCACCCCAAAGAGAGTGCCACCATTGACTGCAAGTGAGTGAATAGTTCAGACTAAACTCTTCAGGAGAGTTTGCTCTTTGTTGGTGGAAAGGTGGGAAGAGGAAAAGCCACTTTATTTCCTATGACCCAGTGGTCCCCTCTTTCTATTGGCCGCTGTTACAGTCCTTGGCAATTCCTTCCATCCTCTGGTATCTAGGTAGTGACACTCCTAGAATCTGAAGCACTAAGATGCTTTTTAGGCAAAGAAATATCTACTTCAGTAAGCACACCGTCTTTGAACAAAATAAACAACCTACAGTTAAGGTCTTGGAAGATGCTGATTGGCAAGTGTGCCTTCTGACAAAGGGTACCTGTGTGGCCCCTCAGCACCTGCTCCCAGGGAAGATCCTCTTGCATGGCTGTGACACTTAGCTTTCTTACAAGTAGAGAAATATTCAACCTGGAATGTAGTTAACAACCTTAAAACTGCAAAGCATTTTGCAAATACAGTTTGCTATAAATAAGTGCCATTTGCTTTAGGCTAAATCTGTATCCTCCAGCACACAGTGGATGAGTTTTCCCAATAGAATATCATGGTATGAGAATATTGGCATCCTTAATGCTCAGAATCTCACTGTGTATGTGCCCATGGCCTTAGGCATGTACATCCTGACCCACCTAAACTCGGGGACACATTAGGATGATGAAAGTGACCAACCCCATTCTTATGCAGGTTCTGCTCTGCCTGTGCCAATTGACAGGTCGCAAAGGTGAATTGCTTGTTATGAAGTAAATTGGTACAATTCCTGTAGGATTCTGAGGACGGCTTAAAAATCTCTCTCCTGAGTTGGTGCCCAAGGCGATGAGATGCTAATGACATCACAGCTAGAACTACACAGGCAGTTCATTAGGTGGCAAAGAAATCAAATGCAAACTAATCAGATCACAGCTTTGGGGGATAGCTTGGGATGCACGGAACGAAGGTTGACATGGGCAAATGAGTCAGAGCTCAGCAAGATACGCTTGAAGTCTGCCCACCTACAGCCAGTATGCCAGAACTCACCCCAACCTTTACCCCATCTACTGTGTGAGCCAGAATTCCAGGTTATTTGATGCACATATTGTTCACCTCGTATCTTCCAAGTAGAGTAATACAACCTGCAATGCCATCCGCAAGCCTAAGATAGGTTCCAGTCAGTCTCTTCAAGTGTTTAATAACTTTGAAAGGAGTTTAAAGTCAGTTGGAACTTGAACTGAAGCCCCTAGTCACACCATGATCCGATATTCTTCAAGATTCAAATCTTAACTAGGGGAAGGGAGGCAGAGTGAACACTTCTTTCTATGTCAGATGTGAGATATTAGTGGCCTGTAGTCAGCAACTGTTTCTTTCTCACCTTTGAAATTCCCTTGCCTAGTTTTTCTATCATCATGCATATCTATCTGGATTGAGATCTACCACCATCGTCTATATCTATATCTATATATTCATTCTTGGTCTATCCTTGGGTAATTATCCTAAGCTCCAAGCCTAGGTGTAAATGATTATGAAATGTCAAGCTTAAAGAATAGAAGCAAAGTATTTGCCAAACAGCTCTCCTGTCCCCTACTAAGCTCTCCAAGAACCAAGTGGGAAATGCAAGGTATCACTGTAGTAGCAGCTGAGTCTGTGGCTCCAGCCAAGATCTCTCCCATAAGTAGGAAAGCCTTACATGCCTGTTAGGACACCCACGTATACATATTACATATCCTTTCCTCTATGTTCAATACCACATAAGGGAATTATCAGTTTAAAGCCCTATTCCTCAAATTGCTTAGGTTGGGTTTTTACTTTACTTCTTATCTGCTGTACAATTTAGGACAGGTTTCATAACCGTCTAGAGTCTAGAATTCCCTGTGTATGAAGTAGAAATGTCCAGACTTATAGATTCCTCACCAGCAAATCTACAATACAACTAAGTATGGTGACCCAGGCCTGTAATCCCAGCACCTGGGAGGCAGAGGCAGGAAGATCAGAAGTTTAGAGTCATCCTTGACTATGTGATGACTTCAAGAATCTGGCTCAAAACTCCAAAACAAAAACAAACAAATCTGCAAGCCATACAGTCCATCTTGATCAGTCCTCAGGACACGATGAGTGCACTCTCAATTTACTTATTCTGACCATGCTTATCCACTAACCTTGCTCTGCCTGCTACCATCACTGACATGTGCTGAGT